GGGCCGGTGCCGGCGGGCGGGCCGGCGAGCCGGCGGCGGGGTGGGTCGGGGGCAGGAGGAGGGCGGTGGATCGCAGCCCCCTTTGCCCCTTGTCTTCCCCCTCCGCCTGGCCGCTCCGAGCCTCTTTCCCCCTCCGCTCCGCGCCCGGCGGGGGCTCAGTGCTCCCCGGCCCCCCATCTCCCCGCCGTTAATTATAATAATCCTGAGTACTAATAAATTATGCTAAGTCGCGGGGGGGGCAGCGGGAGCCGGGGTTGAGTATGAATATGAATATGTAAAATGCTGTAATGATTACCTGCTGCTGCTGCCGCCGCGGCTGAACTCTCATCTTGACTCGCTGCTCCTCCGTCCGCCATTTTGAATATTTTAACCAAAATCGCCCGGTCGATAAACCCTCCCTCGCTCCCGCTCCCCTCCCCCTCCCGCCCTGCTTGCCTCCTCCCTCCTCTCCGCCCCCACTGGGTCCCTCCTCTCCCCGGGCGCGCGCCAGGGGGCGCGCGAGGCCGGCGCTGTTCGCCGCCGGCCCCCTTGGAAGAGCTCCACCCCTTCGCGCGCTCTGCGCACGCGCCTCCAGGCCGCTGTGGCCCTTCGGTAGCTGAGGAAGCGCCCTCAACCTGCCAGTCGTCCGTTTGCTTGTTTTCGTTTCTACTCTGCACATGCGCGACTATTTCCACGCGCCTGAAATGTGGCCGGCGCATGCGTTCCCTCTTCGTTCCCACCAGAAGAGTAACCTGACTATAAAGTGTAGTTATGTCTAATATTTGTTCCTTGTTGCAGTCCTCCCTTTCCTCCTTTCTTCCCTGCCAACTCTGTTCCGGCTTCCCTCAGCACCCCCTGGCATTGTAGTAGAAGAGCAGGGGACACAGAGGCCAACAGCTTGGGGACGCGTGGAGGGTCAGTGGGCGGGCCACCGCTCGCGTAGCCCGAGCTGCGGACTTTCTCCAGGCTTTCTGAGCCGTGGAAATTCTGACAATGGAGGGCCAGCTCCCCTACTAGGTAATTTCCGGCCCTCAGGGCAGGTAGGGGCGGAAAGGCGGGGAGCGGGGCGTGAGACACCTGCTGAGCCACATGCGGTCATCCCGCTTTAAATTTGAATCCGAACTAATCCCCGCCCCCGACTCTACAAATACTGGAGTAGCGGCCGGGCCAAAGCGAGAGGGAGTGCCTTGTAGTTGTTTTAATTAGCCCGAAATCTCTTCTGCTCTACTTGTTTCTAACGCCCGGCTGGCTTCCTCGGGTGCTGGGCGTCTTAATAAGTCGCTAATTTCCGCCCCTACCCTTTCCTTTAGTTTCCCCTCGCTCTGATGCCGCTCTTTGCATGGAAACAAAAAGCAGATCCGGTCTACGGATAGGCTTTCTCGCTTATCTTTCGCTTTGGGAACATCTTTTTAAAACCCTGAAGAGTAAATTGGATGATCTAATAAACGTGTCGAAATGAGCAGCAGCTTCACATGAATTTTACTTTGCTGTATTTCTCATAGTAAATACAATAGTGGGGAAAGGCTTTCCCCTAGAATAGGAACTAGTCATGTTGCTGAGATTTCTTTATCTTTCACAGTAAAATTACCTGGGCAAAATCTCAGTCTTTCGTTAAGAATTTTACGAATTTTTGTAAAGCGCAAAGATTATTTTAAGGGTTATTTTCTAAGAGTGAAAAGAGGAGTATTTCATGGTAAGCAAAGAGAAGTTTATTTAAATTCAGCTGTATAGTTAATCTGTGCTGGAAAAGCAACTAATCTGAATGAGAGTCAGCAGTTACTTAACGGCTAAGTTTTCATCATGTGTCCTAGCATGCTGGTTCAATTCCTTACCCTGTGTAAGTACAGTTAAAGCTATTATCAGTGACAACCAATGACTTGGGGTGGGTTTGATTTATTCGTGGTAATTAAGGCTTAGGGTGTGTGCATGACTGTTTAAACCAAGTAATTTGACCACCCTATAATCGAATTATTTCAAGCCATGTCAACAAACACACAGGTAAGAAAATGCAAAATTAATTCATGTTACAATTAATCTCGAAATACGGCCTAAATTATACTTCTCAGCATTACTATAGAGGAAGTCTCAGGGTCATCAACCTTATTTGAATAAAATTAAGTGATGCCCGTGCCTTGAGGGCAGTGAATGATAAATCATCTCCACTAAGAAAGTGCTCAAATACCCTTATTTAAATTCCTATCATCTATTTAATCTTAGTTTTGCTCTTTGGTAGAAGTAAATTAGTATGACCTTTAAAAAGTCATTGAAGCTAGTGTATGCACTGTTCATTCTTAACCATTTCATTTCCATAAAAGGGAATTTTTGTGGAATAGATTTTTATTTATGGATGGATAGTTCTATGATAACAAAAACAGTTTAAAATAGTCTTTATCAGTGTTTTAATTTTAATGAAGATATTTATGTTTCCAGCTGTGTCCCCAGTGCCCAGCACAACATCTAGGCATAGTAGGTGCTCATAAGTATGTGTTGAAGAAAAAATAGTAACTATACAGTTAGGGTACATATGCTAGGGTTATTACTAAAATTTTAGTCATTTTTTTGCCAAAAAATTATAAGCACATTCTGCCATGAAAATTTACTATATGCTAAGGATAGGACAATGTGTAAGACACTGCTTTGACCCTAGCAGACTCACATGTATCAACCTTTTTTTTTTTTTTTTTGAGACGGAGCCTCAAGCTATCCACCTGGGTAGAGTGCCATGGCATCACGCTCACAGCAACCTCCAACTCCTGGGCTCAAGCGAGTCTCCTGCCTCAGCCTCCCAAGTAGGTGGGACTACAGGCGCCCGCCACAGCGCATGGCCATTTTTTGGTTGCAGCCATCATTGTTGTTTGGCGGGCCCGGGCTGGGGATTCGAACCCGCCACCTTAGGTGTATGTGGCTGGCGCCTTAGCAGCTTGAGCCACCGGCACCTAGCCACATGTATCAACTTTTAAAAACAACCTGGGAGGTAGAAACTCTTGTTTATCCCAGTTTTCCTGGATGAGAAAATTGAGGCATAGAGATGTCAAATAAGTTGGCCACTGTCACACCACTACTAAATGGTAGAGCTAAAATTCAAACTCAGACAAGGGTCTGTACTCAACCATTATACTATGCTATTTGCTTTGAATTGAGCAAAATCTTAGAGGTATGTATAGTTCACGGTAGGAAGAGAACATAATAAGAAACAATGTCCTTGTATGTAATCTCACTGCAATGAAAATATATACATGGATGAGAATTTAAATTCACATAAAAACAAATACACCAATAGCAGCTCTATCCTAACTGCCAAATACTAGAAACAAGCGAAATGTTGGTGAATGACCAAACTGTTACCTTCTACCATGAAATGCTACTCCGCCATAAAAAGGAGTAAAAACCTTTGAGATTCATTGAAGTTGTTACATGTATGAGTACTACACACTAGTAACTTTTAGTTACATGTGTTGTTACATGTGTCTACTACACATGTAACAACTTCAATGAATCTCAAAGGTTTTTTTTTTTTAACAGAGTCTCACTTTGTTGCCCTCTGTAGAGTACTGTGACATCATAGCTTGCAGCAACCTCAAACTCTTGTCCTTGAGCCATCCTCTTGCCTCAGACTCCCGAGTAGCTGGATCTTCAGGTGCCCCCCACAATGCACAGCTATTTTTAGTAAAGACAAGTTCTCACTCCTGCTCAGGCTGGTCTCGAACTCCTGAGCTCAGGCAATCACCCACTTTGGCCTCCCATAGTGCTAGGATTACAGGCATGAGCCACTGAACCCAGTCTATCTCAAAGGTATTTTGCTGAGAAGAAGCCAGGCTCAAAGGCTGGCTTGCAGCCCTATCCATATGACATTAATGAAATATCAAAACTATAGGCTCGGCGCCTGTGGCTCAAGCTGCTAAGGCGCCAGCCACATACACCTAAGGTGGCGGGTTCAAATCCCCAGCCCGGACCTGCCAAACAACAATGATGGCTGCAACCAAAAAATGGCCAGGCGCTGTGGCGGGCGCCTGTAGTCCCAGCTACTTGGGAGGCTGAGGCAGGAGACTCGCTTGAGCCCAGGAGTTGGAGGTTGCGGTGAGCATGATGCCATGGCACTCTACCCAGGGGGATAGCTTGAGGCTCCGTCTCAAAAAAAAAAAAAAAAAGAAATATCAAAACTATAGTGGTAGAAAACATCAGTGATTAGCAGGAGATCACTGATATATAAGGATATATAAAGGATAGGTATAGGGGAGGTTTGGGGGAGTTAATGGAGTTCTATATCCTCAATTTGGTAATAACACAAATTTATATATACATAGTATAGTAAATACATAGTATAGAAGTGGTATAAGGGAGTGGAGGTTACTTTTGCTTAGATGTGACTTTGGATGTTACTTAGTGTTCCTTGGGTTCCAAACTAAGACCTAAGGTGTCATTGTTTCTGTCTGTCTTAATAATGTGAAACACACACACACACAGCCTCCCTTGCAGCTAAATGTGGCCATGTGACTAAATTTAGGCTGTTGAGCTATAAGAAGCTATTGGATGAGATTTGTGGGGGGAATCTCTTAAAAGAAGCAAGTGCATTCTTCATTTTTTTTCCCTTACTGCTGTTAGAATGCAGATGTGAACACAGAGATTCCTGTAGTGGTCTTGGACTGTAAGAAATATCTTGGTTCTCAAGAGATTGTACCTTGTGAGAGGCAACAAGCAGATCAAATCTTTTTTCCACAGGCTGAAGGGAAACTTAGGACTTTCACAACCTTCCTCAAACTGAGGTTAACCCTTGGTGCTGTCACAAAGTTTTCTTAATAACTAAGGAATCCAGACTCTGGAAAATGTAATTTAATGATTATAATTATCTTGGGTGACTAAATTAAAAATTATCATTTTGGGGGGCAGCACTGGCCCCATATACCAGAGGTGGTGGGTTCAAACCTGGCCCCGGCCAAAAACTGCAAAAAGAAAAAATTATCATTTTTTAATAAGCATCCCCAACACTTTCACTTGTTCATATAGATAAAATATTCTAATATACCAAAATAATGTGTTTAGTGGCCTACAGATGCATTTAGTAACTAATTAATTTTATAGCAGAGGCTTTCAAACCATGAAGCCCTCAGAACCATCTTTAAAGTAAGATGAAAAACCCTCTACCTTCTCTTCAGCCAGAATGTCTCTGTTTACCCTATATTAGAGTTCAAGATGAGATTTTGTTTGAAAACATGACATCACTGCTTTAAAAAAAAATGCATATATATATATATGAAATTTACTGTCATGGAAAAATCAACCAAAATATTTAATTGCTTAATGGTGCATATATATTGGAGATATGTCCTTTAAAAGAAGCTTGGCAACAGTAACTTTAAAAAGCAAGAAATGAGTATAATTGCGATGGATGTGTTACTTAGTTCAATGTAAACATTTCATATTGTATATCGAAGCGGTATC